TGAGTATATGCTTTTTCCTTAAGTAGAAGTACGTTATTGTCATTCTGAAAATTTATTGTCATATTTTGACATCATCATACTTTAAATATTGTAGATACTGCTATATTGTCACTGTTTTTCAAACATCCAATAATTACTCTTATTTAATAAAAGGGAAAAAGGTCAGATAGACCCTTGTACTTACATAAAAAGGTCAAATAACCCCTTATATAGGAGGTTTTGTCCGGCCGTCATCATTTGGGGAGGTTTCCAGTGGAATTTTTTGATGAAATTTTTTGAGTGTCTTATTCATTAAGTCTAGTTTACTCATACCAAATTTTAGCTAACAATTCAGTCGGGAAGGCATTCAAATGAATTCTTGAAGATAATTGCGCAGTTAATTATCAGCTAAAACTTCTTAAGTAGAAGTACGTTATTGTCATTCCGAAAATTTACCATCATATTTTGACATCATAATACTTTAAATATTGTAGTATACTGGTATATTGTCACTGTTTTTCAAACATCCAGTAATTACTCTTATTTAATAAAAGGGAAAAAGGTCAGATAGGCCCTTGTACTTATATAAAAGGTCAAATAACCCCTTATATAGGAGGTTCTGTCTGGCCGTCATCATATGGGGCAATTCTCAGTGGAATTTTTTGATGAATTTTTTTTGAGAGTCTTATTCATTAAGTCTAGTTTACTCATACAAAATTTCAGCTAAAATTTCAATCTGGAAGACATTCAAATGAATTCTTGAAGATAATTGTGTAGTTAAAGAGCGCAGTTATCTTCAAGAATTCATTTGAATGCCTTCCCGATTGAAGTTTTAGCTAAAATTTGGTATGAGTAAACTAGACTTAATGAATAAGATGCTCAAAAAAATCATCTTAAAATTTCACTAGGAACCACCCCAAATGGAGACGGCCGGACAGAGCCTCATATATAAGGGATTATTTGACCTTTTTATGTAAGTACAAAAGCCTATCTGACCCTTTTTCCTTAATAAAATAAAAATCAAGTTCTCATGTTTTGGAATTTAAGATTTTATTTAGAACATTTTATTTGAGTTATTTGAAACAAATAAAAACGGACAATCCAAGTGCATGTAGTGGAACAAGAGATGGAAAAATTTAACAAAGAATAAAGTTCACCAAGGTGCAAAAATGCAACACCATGAAAGAGTTTGACATTCATCAAACCTTGGTACGGGTGACCCCTTTTATCTCGAGACTTCTGTCGACTATATCACATGTTATTAACTTAAAAAGTATCAAATTATGTAAACAAAATCTTTGCTTACGAGTATTTGAAATGAGGGAATCTCTGTTGCTCAATTATAAGAACTTCAATATCACATAAATCCATATTCTACTTACAAGGTTGTATATATAAAAGAGTCATTTTTATCGACATGCAAGAAACAAAATGACTATATTGATGGAGTTTATGACATTTCAATTCAAGTTGAGCATGATTGGGGGATTCGTTACTTCCAAGGACAAGAAATAGATAATAAAATAATAATGTATGACTTAAACTAAGCATGCAAAAGTACTGACAAAGGGCTTTGTCGTGCATAACTCGCAAGTTGCTACAACACCTAGGCCAGTTTTATTTACAACTTTGATGATCGTACAAGTTATCATTTGTACCCTAATAAATCCAACTTTGTTGATTATTATGTGGATTATCAAGTAAGTCAATGGTGCAATTAGAATTGAAGAATGGTATTAAAGACACTATTTTACTAGTTAGTTTGGTCGGTTCATGTGGTACTGATCGATTGAGTTGGAAATATTAATGAACGTAGGAGCACATATGGACGATCTTTGTTTCTTGGTCACCATACTATAATTGCTTGGATGAGTCAGAAGTCATGTACATTTTTACATGTTGCATGAGTCAGAAGTACACATTCTTGATGTAATTATAGGAAAGAACTCATTTCCTATTGGTAGTTAACGAATTTTTCCAATATGTTATATATAGAATATAGAATGTGTGATATTTTTCCTCACATGCATGATCTATAAGGAGGCTACATTGTGTGTTCAATAACTCACCCCAGCTAAAAGTTTTGTCTTCTCCATGAGTTAATCTCATTCTCAAGAGTGGATATGGGTTGTGATTTTCATACTATATGGAATGGGGGTGGTGACCTTCCAAAGCACATGACCATACCAACATCATAGAAGTAATGGTAGAACAAGGAAGTCGTCTTGTTGTGTAGAAGTTGATCCACATGCACTTCAATCAACTTATGGTGTGTGATGGATAATATTAACCATTGTTCTAAAAAATCGGCCGAGCCAGACACCGATTAATCGACTTAGTCAGCCCTAACTGTAGAGGACTAATTGGCCCAGTCGGCCAAAAAACCGGCCTAGTAGGCCTCCTAGGCGCTAGGCTCCCCTACCTCAATCGCCCGCCTAGCGCCTAGCGAGTTCCAATACAATGATAATAACTCGATAATTGGACAGTTAATAGGGTAGCCGAGCAGTTGGTGTGTGGTCAACTGCATTAGGAAGAACCAAGCGATCAGGGCTCTGTTGATAACATGCAACGGTCATCTCGAGGACTGATAATTCTCATTAAATGGGAATGTCACAATAATTAAATAGTACACTTTCATTAACCATGTATTTACTGTCGTCATTAATCTTTTGTGATTGTTAGACTTGCATTTGAGGGGAACATCTCTCCTGACAATCAGGAACTCATTAGAGTTATTCTTAAGCCCTGTACATTATTTTAGCATTTCTTTTTAGCTCCGGATATTTTTCAGTTAATACTTAAGGTTTTATGTTGGATCAACCTCGATAACAAAATCTCATTGTGTGGTATTAACATTAGAATACATATTAAGTGCTTCTATTTATCATAAGTGTTAGCTAGGCTAGCATGATATAAACTCTTCAGGTAAATGGTAGATGTGTTTACATGACACACAAACTTAAGTTGCCAAGTTATGTACAAAATGCATATATTTTCTTAACTAAGACTTTCAATCTGATTTTACTTTTATTACCATTCATTTGCATGCATGCGAGAATAAGAGTTTAACAATATTTTATTGTGATGAATGACACACCAGTTCCTTGACTGGAGTGAGTTTCGAACATGTGATCTTCTCCTTGGAGTGTCACAGTGATGTCATCCAACCACAAAGTGTTTGACATTTATGAACTTGTCTTAATTAATATAAAAAATTTAGTTATCCTTATGTGTAATCTCCATTTACTTTTGCAATGTTACTATGGTTTTTAGTTATAGTTTATAAGCTGGGTGTGACATATGAATATTGGTGTGGTCTTGTTATAATTGTGAAATGGTCCACCTTTAAATAGAGAATTAATCATCACCTTCATTTACTTCTTCGGTTGCACATTGAAGAACATATTTCCTTTTATGAATGCTTCTATTCTATGCAACTTATACACATTTTAAATACCGTAAGTATACTAAACACATGAGAATCCAAGTTCAATATTTATTTCTCTGTTTGCTTATGAGTTCCGACTATAGCATTAAATACACAATCTGATGGATATTAGGTATCCAGGACATATATATTTCAAAGAGATGAGAGCTAGAAAGTAAGACAGTGTGTAGTATTAGAATTGTATAATCTTCTTTTATATGGCTCCTAGGGGGTACTCGTAGACAAAATGAGTACTCGTCACTGGGTTAATAGTTTTTAAGGGGTGTTTGAAATTGATTAGGCTTTGGCTTATTTTTAAAAAACGGAAGCAGAATCAAAAATTAGTTTTTCAGAATTGAAGCTGGTCTCCACCAGTTCTAAATAACGACTCTTATGAGTAATTTGAAGCGCTCAGGAGTACTTCTTCACTTTCATCCAAACACTCTAATATACTCCCTCCGTCCCACTGGACTTTGCCAATTTTCTTTTTTTATTTGTCCCAAAAAACTTTGTCACTTTCCTTTTAAAACAATGTTTTTGTGGTTCTTTTCATTTCTCTCTCTTCTACACAAACTTCAACCACACAAATTTTACAATTCTAATTTCCCACCTACAATCAACTTGACAAAGTTGAGTGGGACGGGGTAACATGATTTTACTCCTAGAAGAAGCGGAAATAGTTTTGAAAAGTAGATCCGGTTTAACGGTACTTCAAGTGAAGGTGAACAACTAAAGTTTGAGACTTTTTGGGTGCTTGGTTAAAGCATCTATTTGGAGAAGCTGTCTACCAAAAAATTATTTTAGCTGGTCAATTAGTCAAATCATCTAAATTGGTCAAACAGGCTAAAAAAAGTGGTTGATCAGCCATTTACCAAACAAGGCCTCTGAGTTTGCTTTTTTCAGTTCATTTTAGAAAAAAAGCTGAAAAGGGATTGTTAGGATATTTTTACTTGGACTGATGATGGTCAGGTCTGGTATGGTCCGGTAAATGTCTGATCTCTGTGTATTTATAACTACAAAAGTCTGATCTGATCTAATCTGATCTGAATTAATCTGATCTGATCTATTTAAATCTAGTTTTGTTTGGGAATTAAAATAGTAAATATTAGGGGAAATTTGAGTTTGCACCCCACTTTTTGGGTGATATTGGACTTTGCACCCCATTTTCAAAACTTTTAGACTTTGCACCCTATCTACATCATTTTGTGAAGAAAAATTCTTGAATGGGGTGCAAAGGCAAATACATTTTAGGTGAAATAGGGTGCAAAATCTAAGAGTTTTAAAAATGGGATGCAAAGTCCAATATCACCCAAAAAGTGGGGTGCAAACTGCAAAGTCAAAATATCCCTAAATATTACTCCCTCCGTTCTTATTAAAACTTCCAAATAGGTTTGTCACACAGTTTAAGATAGTTGGTATTATGTGGTGGAAAATTGTGTAGAGGAAAGAGAAATGTGTAAGAAATGTTGTGAATGTTGTGAAACACAAATTCTTTATTGAAAAGGGAAAGTGGAAATTTTAATTGGAACGGACGAAAAAGTAAAATTGGAAATATGTATAATACTAGTATACTACTAGTAAACCGGATGGTGGTGTGGTTTTATTTTGGCTGCTGCCACATCAAGAAAAAGAATTTGCGTGTTGGATTATGGAAGCACTCCTGACATGCGGTGGCGGGAGTGCCCAGCCTTATCCCAGCTCTCGTCTGAATCCCAGCCCTCGCCAAATCTTTACGACTTTCTGCTCCTCACTTAGATGCTCGCTCCTGTATTCTCACTCAATAAGTCTCTTCAACTGCGGAAAGAGGGATCTTTTATGTCACAGGATTCCATATTCAGAGCTCCGGCCGCGGACTCCAGCTTCTGGCGGACCTGGATTCCGTGGCACTGACGATGTTAACCTCGGAAAACCTCATGCAGTCCACGAGACTGAAGATGAGAACTTTAATAAGTCGAAAGGTGTTGCTGCTATGCTAGAAAGGGCGATTCCACAAGGTGATTCCGCTATAATTTCCGCCTGCTCCATCGGTCTTCTAACCGGCATCTGCGTTGTACTCTTCAATACTGCAGTGGGTCACTGTTCTTTCCTTTCTTTTCTATTTATTTTAAATTTTATTGGCCTATTTATGTGAATCATGTTGCAGCCTGCCTCTACTCATTATTTTCAGTTATTTGACTTTGATAACTCCTTGTTTCATATCACATCAATTTAGCTAAGTGATGGTAATACATCAGAGCCAATCCCTTGTGACAGACTTTGAATTGAAGAATGATGGAACAAATTGTCTACCTGGAAGAGTGATGCAAGTGCATGTACCATAATGCTTTATAAATAATGACTGTCTTGTTTGTTGGGGAAATGACATTATTACTGTACAATCTAGAACCAGACGCCCAATTAATTAAATATTACGATGGTGATCCTTTGGTATAATATGGAACATGCTCATTACTTTCTCACAATCTCACCACCCAATTTGGAATCTAGGTTCTTTCCCAATTGAGAATTTATATTTCTATCTCCGGAATTAATTGCCATACATCGGTGTAAGCTGTCTCCCTTTATTTAAACAGTTTTGTTACTTATCAGTTATGGTTCTGACAGTATTCACCTGCCTTTGGAGATCATTGACCTATTAATTGTTATGAACATCTTACACTTTAGGTGCACGAAATACGTGACTTCTGTTGGGGTGACATTCCATATTGGGGTGCCTCATGGTTACGAGAGGAGCCCAAAGAGTTAATTTGGAGACGTGTAATCTTAGTTCCAGTTTGTGGGGGTATGGCAGTCAGCTTACTGAATTTTCTGCTCACCAGATTAGCGGTATCCCGTGAAGGCGATTCAGGATCACCCATTCATTTTGTGACACAATCACTTTTAAAGACAATGGCTGCTTGTGCCACATTGGGAACAGGCAATTCATTAGGACCTGAAGGTCCAAGTGTTGAAATTGGTAATTTCATTGCAAAGGGATATGGTACTTTCATTGATAAGGGTGCTCAAAGAAAGCTGTCACTCAAAGCTGCCGGATCAGCTGCTGGAATATCATCGGGTTGGTATTCCCATCACACCATCTCTCGTATATAGTGTACTTTTTATCATTTCTTTTAGTTCTTTAGCAAACTTGTTGGCATACGATTCACAATTATCAACACACCTTTTGAAACCCTGTCAAAGTTTTGGCCTACTGTCGCTTTCATTTAACGTCTAGATGATGATTAAGGCCGGTGAGTGCATCATCATCATCATGGAAGGTGGGAAGGGTCAATCTATATCTCATAAATTAGGTGAATACAGATGATAGGTTGATGGCACAGAGCACCTGTATCATCATCAGTATCGTGTTGCGCTTGAAGATACTGGATTTTCAAGAATAGGACACATGAGAGGAGCAGACGCACAGCTGTAGTCACTTATTATTGATGTTACTTTCGTATAGCATTATATACATTTTGTCAAAAGCTGGTGTCTATAGGATATCATGTAACTTAATGTTGTTTACATTGCTCCCAGTGCCATTTTCCTTGAAATCTTTTTTCATCTGCTTCCAGATCAGTCTTGTATACTCCTTTGTGACTTCAATGTTTTCCTGATTTCTTTAAGGATGCTTGCTCAGATATATGAACGTGGAGAACGTAAAACAATTAAAGTATATCTGTAGTTTCAAACTGAGTGTGATATTTTCTTTAAAAAAAATTAAGAAGTCCCTAAAAACACCTATTGTAACAAAACAGAATTATAGGAAAAAAAACTTCAGGTCAAATGAAACAAACTGACTGGCAGCACTGCTTCTGTTTTTAAAGGCACTAGCACACAGCCAATATGTGTCTGTCATATATATATATTCACTTCTAAATCATAATTCACCTTTTGGCTTTCAAGGTTTCAATGCTGCTGTAGCGGGTTGTTTTTTTGCTATAGAATCAGTATTGTGGCCATCACCTGCAGATTCATCATTATCATTGACGAATACAACCTCAATGGTCATTCTTAGTGCTGTATTAGCTTCTGTAGTGTCGGAAATAGGCTTGGGCTCTGAACCTGCCTTTTCAATCCCAGGTTATGATTTTCGTTCTCTAACAGGTAATTGGTATTTATCTCTATGTTTTCTTTCGTTTTTTAGAACAATTTTGCTTATTAATATTAATCTTTCCCTCTGAATCAGAGTTACCACTTTATCTTTTGCTTGGTATTCTTTGTGGATTGGTTTCGGTGGCATTATCTAGGTGCACATCTATTATGCTGCTCGCAGTCAGCGACATCCAACAGACCATTGGCACTCTAAAATTAGTCTTCCCTGTATTGGGTGGGTTCTCTGTTGGTCTTATAGCATTGGCATATCCGGAAATTCTTTACTGGGGTTTTCAGAATGTTGACATTTTGTTAGAATCTCGTCCATTGGTTAAAGGTCTTTCCATCGATTTGTTGTTACAGCTGGTAGTTGTCAAAATAGTAGCAACTTCAATATGTCGGGCCACCGGATTGGTTGGAGGATACTATGCACCTTCTCTATTTATTGGTGCTGCTACAGGCATGGCATATGGTAAAACTGTTGGCTTCATCATCACTCAAGCTGATTCAATATCACATATCTCCTTCTTGGATGTTGCTTCACCACAAGCATATGGCTTGGTATAAGTTAATCATATTACTATTTTAAAAAATAGTTGTATGTTTTCAACTTTGTGATTTGCCTCTTTTGTAAGTGAGATTTTAGTTGAAGTTGCTGAAAGTTATTGAAATTGTGGGTTATGGGCTGATATGGATCAACAACAACGTCCAAGTACTAGTCCCCAAAAAATTTGATGTCGGCTAACATGAATTGATACATGATATCGGGGCCAAATGGAAAAGAGAGATAAGAAGGATAAAAAAGATAAAAACGGATAAAATAAAGATTAAGATAACTATAAGATCTAGATAAAAATGATAAGATAAAAAGAATATACGTAATATATAAAATAAAAAGGATAAAAAGATAGAAAACATAAGAAATATGAAGAAGATAAAAGGATAAAAAAGATGATTAGAGATCTATCCGGCACACGAATACCCCATCCTCTACTTTGCTCTATCCAAAGCATACTCTCATCCAACCCAAGAAGAAGCATATCACTCCTCACTCCTCTAGTCCACATCTGTTTGGGTGGGTCTTCCTCTACCTCTTCTACTCGCTTCTTTTCCACACTTCTCAACTCGCCTAACATGTACATCACTCGGTCTTCTATGCACATGACCAAACCACTGTAATCGAGACTCCCACATCTTATCTTCAAATAGGTGCTACTTCCAACTTTTGTTTGATTGTCGCATTTCTGGCTGATATAAGTTGGTAAAATTGCTGAAATTTTGTGTGTGTGCTGAAAAGGTAAAATTACCTTCTGCGCCCACTTCTAAAAAGGTACCTTAAACCTTATTTTTTTATTTTAACCAATTCAACTCATGGCGATCAAATAAACTACTCCTTCCGTCCCTTATAACTTTGCCAAATTTCCTTTTTTGGATGTCCCACTAACTTTGCCACTTTCCCTTTTAAGTAAAGAATTTGTGGTTCTAGTTCATTCTCTCTCCTCTGCACAAAACTCAACCACACAGTTTTTACTTTAATATTTCCCGTGCCGGTCAAACTTGGCAAAGTTATTAGGGACGGAGGGAGTAGTCTTTAATACTTTTGGTTCAAAATAACTGTCGTTTAGGTTTGTTTCACGTGGATTAGGAAACTCATTTAATAGATAAAATTATGTCTATAAAATGACCTCATTACTGTTTCAGTAACAATAAAAGAGATCTATGACAAAATAAAGAGGACTAGTGGATGGAAATAGTTAACTCTAGAAAACCAGAAATCAACTGATACTTTGAAACAAATTTTTTTTCTTTCAATTTCGAACCAGATGGGGTAAAAAATGCCTTGACTAATGAGCCGAAAAAGTGACTACCAAGCAACCACTTAACCCTTTGATAGAAAATTAGAAAACACATCTGCTATCGTTCCAAGGCTATTCCGATTTTTAGATATGTGTTTGAGTTTGTGCTACAAATGCCTGCTACTAATTCTGTATTTGTCTCTATGAAAACGAGATTTTTATATAGCTATATTTTATTTAATCATGAGCATAGATGACATTTACTACTCAGACATCTGTCTTGCACTAGAGTAATGTTTTAATGCTTAAGCATCTTAAGCTTGTCTTGGGACAAGCTTCATGAACCATGGTTAAGTTGCATAAGTGTAACTCTAGATCACTCTTTAAATTGTGAATGTGATTCTTAATACTTCTATCAATATAATTTTTCCCTCTTGTTCCCATGCTTGGGGTTGCATATTCATACAGGTTGGCATGGCTGCCACTCTTGCCGGTGTATGCCAGGTGCCTCTGACTGCAGTTCTGCTACTCTTTGAACTGACACAGGATTATCGGATAGTTCTTCCCCTTTTAGGAGCTGTAGGGATGTCATCTTGGATTACATCCAGCCAGATTATGAGAAAGACCATGGAAGATGCCAAGAAAATGGAAGATGATGGAAAACCGTATAGAGGCCAACCACTAGAGACATCTACAGTCCAGGCGGATATTCCTGCATTTACTGGCCCTGATTCTCTAGAGCAGTCGCAGGTCAGCGACCTCTGTAAACTTGAGAGTTCTCTCTGCTTAAATGATTTTGATGACGACACAGGTGATTGGGTAAAGAAGATCATTGTTTCACAAGCAATGAGAACTGATCACATCACTGTTTTGATGAGCACTTTGCTCACGGAGGTTCTGTCTCTCATGTTAGCTAAGAAGCAATCCTGTGCTCTAATAGTTGATGAAAATAATTCCCTTATCGGTCAGCTGGATCTTGGTGATATCCAGCTATATGGCAATGTGAAAATATCAAAAATTCAGGGAAAGGAGGTAACTTCTTAGATATCAATAATGTTTTTGCTTAAGAATCTAAAATAAAAAGAAAAGGAGCTCTTTCTCTCAATGATGACAACCAGCTTTCTTTTAAGGATTTTGTAGTCTCTCAACTTTGTTCTTCTACTGACATTGACTGCCGCGTGTTGTGGACGGTGACACCAAATACAAGTCTCTTGTCTGCACAAGCTCTTATGGACAAACACAGTGTAAATCAGCTACCTGTCGTTTTGGGGCATGCTGATCACCCTGTTGGCATTTTAGACCGAGAATGCATCAATATTGTTTGCAGGTGCTAATATTTACTTGTCCCAATTTCTTTGTCATTTTTTGTATTCATGTAGTCAACCTAATTTCTTTTTTATTTTCTGATTGTGTGTATCAAAATATTAACATATGTGAATTTGGTTTTTGCGGTTCTATAGGACTTTTAGTTTAGTTTATAAATATGTAAATTGTGATTATTACTACTAATTTACATATTACCAGGGGAGTTTTAAATTTAATCTGAAATGGACACATAAAGAGGGACGGAAGAAGTATAACTTTACTTCATTAGTTGTAGTGCTTTTGTTGGTAATACATTTCTAAAACTAATCTCTCTCTGGCAGAGCATTAGAAATCAGAGAATGTTTTTGCTCGTCGACCACACCCGAAATGCCGAAGCAGTGAGAGCTCCAGACGTCTTGGATTATTCTCTGGTGGAAACATATGTGGAACTCAGTTGATCCCGCTGACGGTTGTCTTAATGCTTGAGTGCTTCTCAATCCTGGTTACTGCTGGTTTGTGACCATGTCAATAAAGTTAACTTGCATCATTGTGGTCACAAATACTTCGTATGATTTACATGCTACCCTTCATCATTCCGTATGCATTATTAGTATATATAGGCTCGGGCCATGTAAATATTGTAACCAGCTTGTGTATATGCGGGCTATTACAGGCTGCTTGTGTACAAGATCTCATCACTGGCCTTCAGGTGAGTGGGAGGGTAGATGAGTAGATTGAGCTTTAGAAGGGTTGGCTATATTTACTGTTTGGGGACAAAACTGGAGAAATATAATTATGCAAATTTTTTACATAAGAAGTTGAATTTTTTCATTGAGAATTTCACAAACTCCCAGAGACTTTTCTTGCTCAAAACTTGCATACTTTTCCCTTAATTTAACTGGCCCTTAAATAAGCTCTAAAGAGTCTGGGAAATACAACAAAGAAATCAACTAAAGAGAAAACAATAATTCAGAAATTGCAATCAGAAAATATTGTCCGATTCTCGAGTCCAGAATTGTGATACCAAAGATTCTTCACTCTCCAGTCCCTTATTTTGTCTTCCAGATTTGTCTGTGTAGTTTGCTGATTTTTTAACTTTCCATCTCTTATGCCTTATGGTGGTATTGGCGCTCTATGTTAATAGATCACGGGTTTCTACATACAGTGACTAATATCATATGGATATGTTAACTAATGAACTGAATGGCAACTTAAGGTATTATGTGTGGGTTTGTTATCTTATACTTCGTATGACGTATGATAAATTTTCAACAGTTGAGATTGTTGCGTGCCATGTGTGGATTATGTGATCTTCAACCGTGCATGGCAATGGTGACATTGATTGGATAAATTATATAGTTGTGCTTGGAAAACGATTCCAATTCTCTTAGACCTTTCGATTGATATTCTCGAAATTTATTTTATATATACACCTAGTTTATTCACTTCTATAATTATGGTTGGACTCGGGTCGGGCGACCCAGCCCGTGGACCGGCCTGGCCCGCTACTGTGCGTGACCGGGACCGGCCCGGTTCTTGGGTCCGGGTCGGACCCGGGGGTAGGGCGGGTCTGGGCTCGGGTCTCAAATTTGGTGAACTGGCCCGGTCGGGCCCGGGCCCAGGCCAAATTGATTTTTTTTTTTTTTTTTTTTTCATTTTTTGGGTTCCACCCGGGTTGGGCTTGATGGGTAGGGTGGGTTTGGGAGGGTGGGGGGTTAGGAAAGCAAAAAAAAAAAAAAAAAACCGGAGGCCCGGCCTGGACCGGACCCGGTGGCTACCCGGGCCGGTCCTGGGTCCACCATTCCTGAACCGCCGGCCCGCCCGGGCCTAGGCCCGACATGGACCCGACCCGGACCCGGCCCGGACCCGAGTTCACCCCTATCTATAATATGTAATTATAGTTGCAGCGCAAGAATTCCATGGTTTCATGCATATATGATGATGCACTACTATATTTGGACTTGTCATTTTTCATTTTCTGGTGTCTAAATAACTCATAATCCGATGTGAACATTATTCACTCATTTTCTGGTGTCTAAATAACTCATAATCCGATGTGAACATCATAATCCGATGTGAACATTATTCACATTTATTTCTGGTGTCTAAATAACTCATAATCCGATGGTTAGAGTTCCACCAATAACTTTTCACCTAAGTCTGAAATGAACAATCTTCAATATAACAGTTTTTAATTACGGAGTATAATAAAAACGCATTTCTAATAACAATATAATATACAAACTCTAATGAGTTAATTATCAAAATAGGACTAAAAGTCATTCACTTTTCACAAATAGGACCAAAAAATAAACTATGTTTGCATAGGACTAATTATGTGTACCTTGGACAATTATACCCTTATAGCTATTAAAATGTTTTAATTCCTAATAAAATAATAAAAAATAATAAAAATTCGTAAAAAATACTAAAAAATTAAGAAAAACATTTCGATATTAAAAAATTAAATAATTTTTTTTTTCAAAAAATTAAAAAAATAAAAAAAAAAAAAAAAAAAAAACTCAAAAAAAAAAATCGGCGCCGCCTCAGCACCACCACCTCCAGTCACCAGGGGAAAAAAATGCCAAGTTCATTACGAATGACATATTTATGGCAGAAAAAAATGAAAATGTTGGCATTCGAAAAGAGAAATATGCCACTTTTTTGGCATTTTCAGAAAAAAATGGATGGTTTCTGGGAAAATGGCATTTTTTTCATCGGCCAGAGGTGGTGGTGCTGGGAGGTAGTACAGGCGGTGGGAAAGGCATCCATATTTTTTAAAATTTTTTTTACGGTGTTTTACTATTTTTTATTAATTTTTTTAAAAATAAAATTATTTAAAAAAAAGGTTTTGGAATTTTTTATTTTATAAAAATTTTATAAATTTTTTAATTATATTTCTACGAATTTTTGAATTTTTTTTCGAATTTATTATGAATTAAACATTTAATTATGGCTTTTGACTATTTTTAATTCATATTTAATGGAAGGGTAAGAATGGAATGAAAAAATAGGTATGTTTCCAATAGGACTCATATGGTCCTATTTTGGAATAAAAACATAGAAAGTCCTATTTTAGGTTTTTGCCATAGTTTTAGTCCTATTTGAACTAATTTCTAAACTCTAATACATCACGAGAGAACCCCTAGCAAGAGCTTCTGATTGTGGTGTGCCCTGACATTCAACACTTCGCGTTAAAGGACTGTATTCTCCTCTATTTTGACATAGTAAAAAGACCACGAATGATGCATCCAAGCAGGTAGTGGATTCTGTGTTTTGTTCCAAGTGATCAGCTCTCAAAGATTCATGATAGGGGTATGATCTAATTGACTGCATTCTTTTTTGGTTGCGCTTATTTTGTGCTATGGCAGTTCTTTCCTTGGTGCTCTAGTTTTGTTTCTCTCGGTGTGGGGAGTTGTTTTGGTGCCCGGCCAACTTTGTCTAGTAGGAGTTTATGTCTGTCTTCTTTTGGGCGACGTACAAAATGGTAAGGTCCGTTCTTCTCGAGAACCATCTCTGTGCAAAGAAGAGGTTGATGGCAATGTTTTATTTCAATTTAATTTTTTCCTTTAGTACTATTTATTTTTATTTTATTTTGAGTAGGTTTGATTTGGTTATTTGGCTTTCTTGAGTACTTTTGATAGACAATGTTTCAGTTTGATTGTTTTGGGCTTAATTTGCTCGTTTCATGTCTACCAAATCAGGTTGCTTTGTATGAGGTGATTGATTTTATATCTATTCATAGGGCTTATGATCGATTATGTCATAACTATTTGGAGATTGTATTGTACGAAGTATGATTTTTTGATGTTAATGTAAAAATATGCTCTTTTATACTCAAAAAATAACAATATAATATGACAGATGTAAAAAAAACTCATGCCACAAATTGGCTAACAAGATGAAATGCCAATATCTCAAACTTAGATATTAATAACAATATGACAAGTTAATAAGGATCATGATAATAATAGAAATTCTTTCTAAAATATTACTAATAAAAAAGTTATGGACAACATTATCATGTAGTAACTATTAGTGACTGTAAAAGTGTTCAAAGTATAATCATGTAATCACTATGATGTATACTTTGAACATAATTACAGTCATTAATAGTTAATAAGTCACATCTTTATCCTCCACTTCTCCAGAAGCAAAATTAATAAAAAAATCATGATAATAAGGATGTTTTTACTTGGACTGTAATTTGATGGTCTGGTCTGGTCTGTTTTGGTCTAGGTTGGTCTGATCAGTTTTGGTCTGGTCTGGTGTGGTCTGAAATTTTAGTTTTTATATTTTTTGCATAAAGATTTTATTATGTATATATATATATATATTATAATCCATAAATAATTATATTTTATTCATTTATAATTACAAATAATAATAATAATAACAACAACAACAATAATAATAATAATAATAATAATAATAATAATAATAATAATAATAATAATAATAATAATAATTAGGGGTGTGCACTATCCGGTTTAAACCATAAAACCGGACTGGAAAAACCGGAACCGGATCGAACCGGAATGATATCCGAACCGGATCGAACCAGAATGATATCCGGTCCGGTTCGGTATGGTCCGGTCCGGTTCGGTATGGTCCGGTCCGGTTTTGAAGTGGTGCACACCCCTAATAATAATAATGATGATGATGATGATGATGATGATGATGATAACAATAACAATAACAACAACAACAACAACAATAAAAATAATAATAATAATAATAATAATAATAATAATAATAATAATATATGGTCTGATCTGGCCTGTTTTAGTCTGTTTTGGTCTGATCAGGGACGAATTACAGTCCAAGTAAAAACAACCTAATACAACAATAACAATACGACAATTATAATAATATAATAATTATATACTTGTGATGATACTTTTCAAACTCAACGTTAAGAACTTGCATACGAGTAGGTATGGACAGGGACGGGTCGGCCCGACCCCGACACTGATTAGTCCCGACCCGGTCTCGACCCGATGGCAATAAAGGCGAGCTTCTAGCTCCTATTTTTAGGCCCGACTGTAGGGGTGGACCGGTTCCGATTCGGGCCCGGCTGGGCCTCGATTCAAGAAGGGGAGGCCCGGAACCGGCCCGGGTAACCCCCGGGTCCGGGCTGAGCCGGGCCTCGGTTCTATTTTTTTTTTGTGGCTTTTCCTAGTCAACCCCCAACCCTCCCCCACACCCCCAAACCAACCCTAACCACCTCAAATGGCCAAAAATGCCCAGCTCAACCCAAAAACTTAAAAAAATTCAAAAAAAAAAAGTGGCCCGAGCCCGAACCGCCATCCCACCGGGCCGGTCGGCCCGAACCGGGCCCGGAACCAGTTCACCGGGCTGGGCCAGGCCCGCGCAGTAGCGGGCCGGTCCGGTTGCGGGCCGGTTGGCCCGGCCCGAGTCCACCCCTACCCGACTGGGTCCGGGCCGATCCTGGACACGATTACACTATTTTTTTAATTGATTGCCCAGGCTCGGCCCAGCACGATCCCGACCCGTTACTGTTTAGATCCAACTCGGTCCGGTCCCGGTACAAACCTGAGCCGATACCGGGCCTGAAATTTTTAGTCATGGTCCAACCCGGCCCGATCCCAGTCCATCGCTACATACGAGTATTCTCTCTCTGCAATTGTTATACGATGTACTTGCTCCGTTTCTTAATAGTTGCAATATTGATTTTTTTTGCACTATTCACACATCTGACTTTGATCACGATTTTCAACTAATATATATACTCCCTCCGATCCTAAATAAAATTCACACTTTGACTTC